AATGGGCAATCTGCCTATCGGCTGCTGCAACTGTGCTGCCATTGCTCCATATTTTCCGGAGAGCTTGGAGCAACTTTATCTAGAAATTGTGGGGCTAAAAGCACAACTGCTGAAAGGATCTGCAAGGAATCCATGTTTGGGGGAATGGGAAGAATGACAGGGAGAATCCCTTTCCTTGCTTCTCCTTTCCTAGCAGTTCCTTCATCAGCAGAAGCAGAAAACACTGCACTCATCCTGTCTGAGGGCAGCAAATTTGCAGTCCTTTTTTGAGGCATGGCAAGAGGAATGCTATAGAGGGAGCAATTTCCCAGCTGACATGTTTTTTCCCTAACTCAAGGATAGGAGGAAACATCATAGGAGGTATGAGGAAGAGTCCTACATCATACACCAGACCATGGATAAATCTTTGGGCAAATTCCGTCTGTGATTTGGGAACCACCTCACATGACATTGTGTAATACAAAGAGCAAACCTGATAACCTTCAAGACTCTAGACACCCAACTCTTTTGAACAGGAGGCCCAGTTTCTATTTGTCTCTTATTCTGTTAATGGACAGACAGTTTCTTTCTGACCATGTGAGGATTAACCTTCACAAATGCAGTAGATGCATAGAAGATATAACACTTGCAGATATGCAGAAGCAACTGTGGTCTGGGTTGCTTTGCCAAACAATGGACTTTATTGTTTGAGGGCAAAACCCAAATTCAGATTCTGTTCATAGCATTCAAGGTCCATTGGAAAAAAAAATTAAGGTTTACTGTATTTGGGCTTCAAGGGAGGCCCCAGTGGCACCAGAAGATGACTAAAACTATGCACATAAATTGCAAACATAAATAATATCGGTTGCTAATTTGGCTTCAGCACAGCACTAGTGTTTAATTAAAATATCCCCTTTTTTCTTACAACAGGAAACAACTATATCTATGTATCTTTTCTCAATCTGGTCCACAATTTCTATGTAACAGATGATGTCTGATGATCATATCTGCACACAAGATATGAAATATCACATATTTTCAAGAAAAATGGAATCAGATATGCTTGTATTGCAAGCAAAATGGTAGCAACTCTATGGAAAACTATGCAACATATCTAAATACCTAGACTCTGGAAACATGAAAAGACTCAAAGGGGAAAAACTGGCACAACTCATATGCCAGGAAAGAGATTGTTTTGGGGAAAGCATCTTTTGGTTCCAAGCCAAGGCAACTGTCCGTGCAATTTTTTGAAGGAATATTGGCATAATCGTCCAGCAAACAGACCATAGGAAAAGTTGACTTCATGTCACCATTAACTAAACTCTTGCTATACTAAAAATAAAATGAATAGAGATTTCCTCATTGAAACATACAAAGTTTATATTATATGAAAGTGTCTGCAGACCTGAATTAATCTATTCAAATAACTTAGGGAGAAGAACACAAAATAGGAATTACACCAGTAAATTGGATAAAGAGAAATATCTAAAAGGCATTCTGAAGAAATCTCTTTAGAAAATAATTTTATATATCCTTATCTAAGTTACAGCTGTAATTTATTTCATAGGCTTTAAGGTTTCACAAGACTCTTTGTTGGTTTAGATGAGACTGCTACATATTTAAACATAACAGCAAAAAACAGGCCAAGTCCCTAAGTACTTTAGCAATCAACATTTCTGAGAGGGGCTGATATAGCGAACTGATTAAGGGGAAAAAATAGAAGTAATGATTTTGCTTTCTCCAAAACAAACTGTCAGAACCAATATAAAAGGGAAGCCTCGGCTATTTAATTTCCTAAGGCTAGAAATTGCATCGCCATCTTGTGGAAGAGGAGAAAATGGAACATTTTGACAGGGGCACATCTTGTGTTTCCATACAGATAAATTGTTCACATAATAGAAGGGTCATGCATGTGTGTGTATGAGAGAGAGACAGAATAGGCAGAGAAGGCTATGCTGTTCTTAAATCTTCTCTGAAGTTTTTACTGGAGGATGTAAAAAATCTCTTTATGAGGGAGGAAAATACCATCAGCACATTCTCCATCAGTAATTTCATGAGTAGATATTGACAGAATTCACCACCTCCAGATTGCAAGCTCAATTACACAGAATTTCATAGTACTTAGTATTAAATTACTACTTATGCCATGGTTATGCTAATCATGCTAAAAATTATACCAGAAATTATATTCTTCTGAAGTTTTTTTCCTCAAGTACAATGCTCTTAATGCTATCTTATATGAAAATGAAAATGTGCTAAAATCATATCTATCTATCTATCTGTCCATCCATCCATCCATCCAT